AATACTTAATGCCTTCATTGTTGAAATAAGACATACTTTATGTCTTAAATTTTCTATTGAACTTGTTTTCTATATCAGCACAGTGCAGTTGACATTTCTCAAGCACTTCAATGTTTATTGGTTAAGAGGTAGGTGCAAATATCCTTTGAGTGACAATCTATGGATGTTACAGAGTAGTCCCCTCCTGTCCCCACTCGATATCATTTTGATTGGCCTGGAATGACAAATATCTGAGAAAATAAGTTCCAGTGGCTGGCTGGCTTGTTTAAATTCAAGCCCAGGAAAACCTCTTCTCCATCCCTTTGCTTTTAGACAATAGTCACACTTTCATTCCCTTCGTTCCTCGCAAGGACAAACTTTCAGTTCAATTCCTAAATACTCATCCTTTTTTTCCTTAATGCTAGATCCATCCCTGAGACCGAATTTTCTGTGCCATTTTGCAGGATTATTATTATGCATGCTTCCAGCTACCGTATTTGCTCCAGGCTGCAGATGTTTCAGCAAATTAGCTTCATTGTGCTTTTCTTTCAACATTACTTGGTCGTGTTTTGTAAACAGGGCAAAGTCCATTTTAAAGCACAATTTTACAATCACCTTGCATACAATAATATAAACTTATGTAATTTACATCCAGTTCAGAGACATAATATGCTTCTTGAAATATATTCATGCTTTCCTTATGATTTACCAGGAATTTCATTTAATACTGCTTTTCTCACATGCATCTATTGATATTTTATTTGCTAAAATAACATTTCCTTGGCAAGATTCATGAAGGCTTGTAAACACATCTTGCTTGCAGATATATTGACTTGAAACATCACTTTCCAGCATAAATCTGTTTTTCCTTTCAAAGTCATGTCCAATTTTAAGAAAGAATTTATTTGCTAATATAAATACTTCACCTTGTTGTTTTTGCAATCTCTGTGTAGGCTTGACTTTTCTTTTAGGATATTTGATCTCAATATCGTTTTCTGTTGTTCAAATTTTAGATTTGTAAAATCTGCAACCTTTTTTTATCTCATTGAATAAAGTACCTTCAATTGTATCATTCAAATTATGTTGATATGCCTACAGTTTGACAATTGCGTTCTCAAGGGAAATTTCACCACTGATTAATTCTACTATAAATTTCTAGTTTCCTGATGATCTTAATAACGGTTCCCTGATTAATCATCAGAAAGGGTCACATTATTTTGTCTTAGTTCCCTCTGAATAGAGAGATACTCTGACACATATTCCATTCCAAACTTCCATTCCATGATAATTTCAGATATCTGAGTTTCTGAACATTAAAGTATTGCTCATTCCTGAGCATGTATATGTCTGCTTTATCTTGTCTCAGATCTCCTTTCTTGAAACACAATTTTGAGTCAACTTATAGTTGTTGAGTTCAGCCTCAAAAATATTTTAGGCTTAAATAAACTATCCTTTTTCATCCAAGTTACCCTGGCTTGAACATCTTCTGCACTTGGCATAAGAAGTCCAGCTTTTCAAATCCTGCCTCCATCTTCATGCTCCAGATGCTGTATTCTTTCCTATTTTCAAGCATGAGAACTTTCGGTCCAAATGCCCCTGCATTTTAAAAAACATTATGCTAGCTTTGAAGTTGTAAATATAAATATTCCTTAATTAGGATGTTTTAAGTCCTAATGAACAACCACAGTTGGTGGGCTCTAAGTGCTGATATAGCTGTATATCTGACCAAGTGCCTCGTCATAAATTGAGAAGTTTTGTGATTGGGGTGCCTTGGAGTGCTCAGAGTTTAATTCTGGTTCCCTGCTGAGCCATTAATCCTTTTGTTTGAAAATTAGTGTGGGCAATTTCCAACTTAGTTTACACCCAGGACACTCCCAGTCAATCACTATATCCAAATGAAAGTAAGCGTACACACCACTCAGTTCAGTTACCAAAAACATAGCAGACATAAAAAAATCAAAACAATTAATTGGCAAAAATGGGACAAAAAGTAGGAAGATGGAGAGACATGAACAAGAGGCAAAAATGTACATTACTGTATCTGTATATTGATTGATTGATTGATTGATTGATTGATTGATTATGTGTCATCATGCTGGTGTTGACTCTTAGCAACTACATAGGTTTTCTCCAGGATACATGGTTCCCAACCTGGTCCTTCACATCTTCTGATGGTGTACCCATTACCAATGTAACTGAGACCATCCCCCACCTTACTGCTGGTTGTCCTCTTTTTCTCTTTCCTTCCACTGTTCTTAGCATTATAGACTTCTCTATATACCAGGTCTTTGCATAATACAGTGGTACCTCTAGT